TAACGTCTGAGGCAATGATCTCTGTATCTTCCTACAACGTCTGATGCAATGATCTGTCTACCTTCGTACAAGATCTGATGCAATGTTCTCTGTACCTTCCTATAACGTCTGAGGCAATGATCTCTGTATCTTCCTACAACGTCTGATGCAATGATCTGTCTACCTTCGTACAAGATCTGATGCAATGTTCTCTGTACCTTCCTATAACGTCTGAGGCAATGATCTCTGTATCTTCCTACAACGTCTGATGCAATGATCTGTCTACCTTCGTACAAGGTCTCATGCAATGATCTCTGTACCTTCCTACGACGTCTGATGCAATGATCTCTCTGCCTTCCTACGACGTCTGAGGCAAAATTTCTGTACCTTCCTACGACATCTGAGGCAATCATCTGTGTACCAAGACCTCCTGCAGTTTGCTTATCTCCATGGAGTTGGAGTTGATTATATCATCATCCACCTGCTTCAATAAACCCACTGTCATTTAGGCAAGTCTGTGTCATGCAGGTCATGGTCAAGCTTGAATAAGTTCCTTCTAGGCCGGAGGTCTTCAACAAGGGGTCAGTGAACCTTAGGGGGCCACGGAGGTACCGCATGGAGGTCGCAAAACTTTTGGTTGATTAAAATTTTTTTTTATATACCCCCCTGCAATTTTTTCCACTTATTAAACTGTCTTTAAATTCACATTAACATGAATTCAACACACTTCAATAAACAGATAAATGGAGGCAGAAGATGTCTTTCAGTCATCAATGCACACATTCAGCGACAGACAGGAGCTCTTTCAAGCTGGACACCGTTTAATTCACAACACCTGTCCCATCAACCAGGAATCAGAAATACTTTAATAATTCCAGGGAGAAATCACTTTCGTTACATTACTCCATCTGTAATAGAGTGACTATAGGACCAGTTTGATACGCAATTTCATACAAAATTTATAACCAGGGGGTTCCCGCTCCATCTTGCCATCAGTTTGGGGGTCCTTGGCCTGGAAAACGTTGAAGACCCCTGGTCTAGGCAACTGGACGTGAGGTTTTCTAGAAGACTGATCTCCTTTCATCCAAGATTTGTCTTCGGTTCTAACTAGTGTTGGGGATCACTGAGATTAATATACTGGAGGTGGAACAAAGTTAGGGGGGACAAAGTCCTGATCCTTCCTACTGGATTGGCCAAGGAGGTCACCTGGGGGTTGATAGTCATTAGGGGGTTCTGATGGGTTGTTAACTCCCTCATCAGAGGGAGTCAGGTGAGTGTGGATGGGAGGTGAATCTTCTGGGTATTGTTCCTAAAGTGCTTTGTAGGTTGTTGAAATACACAAGGCAGGCAGCACTATGAGGATCATGGTCTTTGATTTCTCCTGAACATCTAACACCATTCAGCCTGACTGACTGTGAGAGAAACTCCAGCAGACTCAGGTGGGGGCATCAACAATCACCTGGATCAAAGACTACCTGACAGACAGAC